AATTTAATGTCGCCCTACAAGCAGCGTTTCTTCCATACTATTTTCTCCTGGGGGGGGGGGGGGGACTTGATAATTTCGGAGGGAAGTGGGTGGACTAAATATTTCGGTGAGGCGGACTCTGATAAAAGTATATATTTTCTATATAAATTACATATCGTTCGGGGGTCTCTGCGAAGAGATGCCTGGATAGAACTCTGCTCACAAGGACCCCATAATTTTAAAAAAAAAAAAAGAATGGCATTGAATTTTGAGTAATCAGAGGAATTAACCAGGGTTAGAATATATTGCATAAATATTAACTTGGTTGTGTCCCTTTGTCCGTTAATCATTCTACCACAAAAAAAAAAGCCTATAGGTTAGTTCTAAAACAAAAGTATGACAAAACTACTCGGAAGGTTTCTGCGAAAAATAATTTATATTCTGGAATGGCTGCGCCCCTGTATGAAGCTAAGTGGCATCCCAGGATCTTCTGCAAGACTTTCACGCAGAACGCAGTAAGTCGTCTTTTATTTTAAACAAAATACGTGCCGTGAAATAACTCTCCTAATCAAAGAATTCATCTTTTGACTCATCAGTAATACTGGCAACATGAAGAGAAGCAGAGAATGTATTCCTTCGTCTTTCAGCTCAGTGTACTAACGCCGCAGTTTGGTTTCAAGAGATTTGAGATGCCAAGAAATCTCCACTTTCAAATTTTTATTTATCTTCTCAAAATCAGATTCATCTAGCGGGTACCTAACTCAAGTTAGGGAAAGGAAAGGCGGCTGGGCATAGTGCTGACCACACTATCTCTTCATATGCCGAGGTCACAGAAACAATTGAACTTTACTTCACTTGCCCTTTAGACCGTCAGATTTGAAAGGGAAATTTACTTTACTCAGAATGGACATTGGTAGTCTTATCCTCCTAATTTAAGTGTAAAAACGACGTATAAGAACATAAAGAGTTTCATATTATACTAGAATACCCGTCATCCGTTGGATAACTGTGGGTTTCGGGGGTCATCCATCAAAAAACATCACGTCTGTCACTCAGAGGCATAGCGACCCTTCCCGGCGCCCGGGGACAAACTTTTCGATTTTAACCCCCCCCCCCCCCCCCCCAAGATTTCGATTTTCAACCCCCCCTCCCTCAAACTTTTGATGTGCACCCCCCCCCCCCCCCACTCAAACTTTCGATTTGAACCCCCCTCAACCTTTCAATTTATTTTTCCAAACCATTTTGGCGCCCCAACATATGTCCGCCCCGCCCCCCCCCCCTCCACCTCCCCCCGCCTCCCCTCCCCTCCCCCCCCCCCCCTCCTCGCTACGCTACTGCAGTGTCACTTATCGTCACAAAAACAGACCCCACATTCAAAAATATGTTTCTTATCTTTTAAAAACACCGAAAACACCGATTACGGACTATCCCTTCCTATACTGACGTCACATGTGACCTACTCAACTCTACTTCACCTGCCCAGTGTCCCGCCAAGTCTCAGACATGTTTTTATCGTTTAAAAAACGATTCCAGCCGAGCATGTCTCTGACCACACTATCCTTTCATATGCTTAGGACAAAGAAACAGATGAACTCTACTTCACCTGCCCTGTATCCTGCCAAGTTCAGATAGGCAACTTTATCATTCACATCTAAAAAAAAAAAAATTGAAAACAAAAATATCATTGACATTGGTCTAGAACCCGTGCCACTTGCATGAGAGACGGCTACTCTACCAACATAGCTATTTACTCCTGGCTTCACAAGTGAATTTTTATACTATACTAATGCAACTTTATTTACGCGCATAGATCTAGATCTAAGTCTAGTAGTAGTAACTTTCAAATTAAATTTTATCTTAAATTAGCCAAACAAAGATTTATATAAAATAAAGAAGGTTTGAAATTATCTAGATCTAGATAGAATTATCTATATCTAGATTCTACGACTCGTTTTCTTAAGTCTTAAGTTAAGTTTTTCTTGCTAGATCTAGATCTAATCATTAGCTACGCTAATAGGCCCGGAGCGAGCATTTCAAAATTACCATATTCCAAACAAACATTTATATAAAATAATAAAGGTCTAAAATAGTTTAGTATATAGAAAATCATTATTATCTAAATCTAGATAGAATTATCTATATTTTAGATATACGACTGAGTTATATCTAGAGTTTACGTCTATAATTTTGCACACTTAGCGGTAAAAAAAAACCGCGTATGAATCTTAAGCTACGCAAATAGATCTAGGCCCTGACTCCAGCATTTCAAAATTTGCATAGGGGCCTAGTCAAAACAAAGATTTATACCAAACAATAAAGGTCTAAAATATTTTAGTATATAGAAACTCATTATTATCTAAATCTAGATAGAATTATCTATATTCTAAATCTACGACTGGTTTGCTTAAGTCTTAAGTTTAGTTTTTCTTGCTAGATCTAGAATCTAGATCTAGATCTAATCATTAGCTACGCTCATAGGTCATAGGCCCGGAGCGAGCATTTCAAAATTACCCTATTCCAAACAAAGATTTATATAAAATAATAAAGGTTTAAAATAGTTTAGTATATAGAAACTCATTATTATCTAGTTATTATCTAGATCTAAATCTAGATAGAATTATCTATATTCTAGATCTACGACTGGTTTGCTTAAGTCTCGTTTTTTTTGTATTGTATTTATTTATAACTATTAAATCTTTGATTTGACCTAGATCTAGATTCTAGATCTAGATCTATAAATAACTTTCTTGGACAGATTTTAGATCTAGAGAAATTTATCGTAAAACTAAATGAAAAAGACAGTTGAAAATTGATATAAGTGTTGGAACGTAATAAATACAGCAAACGGACGTATTGTTAAAGTTATGACCCACAGAAAATTAGATTTAGAACGCGTTAAACTTGTGAATGGGAACACAATTTTCTTCGATAGACGCCGCCATTTTATTGTACTAAAGAGTAAACAAAAACCTGTGACGTCACGGTCCCGCCGAGTGTAGTGGTCGTTTTAATCTTTTTAAAAAAAAATGGGTTACTCTGCGTATGAATAAATCAATAAATTAATTAACGTCTTTAAATAAATGTGTGATTAACAGTCTGTCTTAAAACAAAAAATTTTCTCTACCTACATACTATTTTACAGCTTTCCACGATGAGTGCAACCATGCGAGATAGTCAATCAGGCAAACAAACAAACAAACAAAAAAACAAAAAAATAAATATTCAAACATGTAAACAAACTTGACTTTTAGTAGTATATAGACTAGTACTAAAACTACGCACCGAATATGAGCACGAATAAGAACTGTTTTCAAACACTAATTCCTTGATTGTTTTTAAATAGAAACCGCATTGAATCTATTTTAAAAAATTTCCTACAGGAATTTTTTAAATTTTATAATTAAAACCTTTTTTATGTCATATTATGTATGTTAATACTGTACCAGTATAGAAACCGAGTAAAGAAATAGTTAAATATGTAAGTACGATATTGTAATAGATTTATCCAGTATTACCATCATTACAGATTTAGTTCTAGATCTAGTCTAGATCTACTTCTTTATAACATAAAATGCCTACAGGAAGTAGAGTCAACACATTGTAATTGTATTTCGTTAGCATTAATATTTTAACATGAGTTACTCTAGTTCTAACCCAAATCTTAACCCAGACGTGTCATGTCCGTCATTCACATCTACGTAAAATTTCCAGTAACAAAAATGATGTGCTACTTTTCCTTCATTATTTTTAATTAAAAGCGGATTACGAGTTCGTGTGTTTTGCGTTATAAGGCAACGAAATTTTCTTACTGGGTTTGCTTTGGCGTCGTCCATAAATGACGTCACATTCGTAGGGGGGAAGGGGGGGGGGGTCCGTAATTTTGTGACGGTGTGTGTTGAGGGGGAGGGGGGGGGGGGGTTCAGATGGTGCGACGTCACACTTTTTGCATTATAAAAAAGAAATGCTAGAAAACGAATTTTAGACGTTATTTCGCGGTTTAGAAGACTGTTTTAATACATTGTAATATGAATTGATTAAAATACTCTATTTTGACAGAGTTCAGACCAGATTTTAGAAAAAATATCGATGTTTTTAAAAAAAAATTCAACAGCAATTTTGAGGGAGGATTGTAGGCTGAGGTGTGACGTCATTTTAGGGGGGTGTCTGGCTTTTTGTGACGACGTTTGACGGAGGGAAGGGGGGGGGGGGAAGGTAAAAATCGTCAAAAAGCGTGACGTCATTTATGGATGACCCCCTTTAACACCCGTTGCAACTACACTAAAAATAGACTAACCCGAACCTTCAGATCAAGACCTTAATTCTTTGAATCATCTTTAAACTTAATACTAACCTTAATGATGAGCCTCAACAAAGTCTTCTGTCTATTAGTGGTACTAGCTTTAACGTTTTTCTCCTTCAAGACCCAACCCTAATCCAAACTCAAAACTTACTTTGAAATACGACAACATAATTCCCTTAAAAGAAACACAATTAATTTTATATTCTATCTAGTGAAACTTAATGTTTCTGAATTTATATTAAATGACGTTTTATATAAAAAAACGAATATACAATCTTAATATAAGTTATAATCTTTCTTATCAGTAACTAAAAATCTGGTCAGATTCATCAAAAGAAAAACAAAACTTCTAGAGTTTACTTGTAAATAGAAGTGTTTACCCTATATTCACTCGTACTAAATGTTCTTTCTATTAGATCATTGTATAGGTGTTTTAATCCCAGTTGTAAGACCATCAATGGTTGAACTATGGCTAATTGTGTTAGCACTTTGGATTGCCAACTTTCCCATTACTACGGTTGTGTCTTCTGTAACGCAGCCAGTAGATAAAAAGGTAAATTATAATCTATTTTATCAGTTAAAAACACAGTTTGATACAATAAATTAGTTTATTTAAAAATGTATGTATCTTATTTTTTAATGTAGCTATTATAATTTATAAATCTGGCAATAAATAATGTCCGATAATTGTATACTTTAGGGGTGCCTGTTGTTACACAGCATGGATGTGAGGAAATGTTCGACACCAGCAAGTGGGAACTCCAGCAAGTAAGTCATTTGTCATTCAGTGCCTTCTATCAAATCTGCTTAATATATTACTCGAGCTAATTTAAAGAAAGGCGCATGCAACGTTTTCTGCGTTTACATGTTATTTCACGCATTTTTACAATTTTGTTTAATGATTGGGCGAGTTAAAAGAAACAAACATTAAGTATGAAATAACATGTGTTAATTTATTAGTTCGACATATTAGAGATATAAACATTTTTATTTTTATTTCTCCGTCCTCTTTGGTATTATAGGCTTTCGGTTTAGATTTTAAATAATAATAATAGGTGTATAATAAATTAGTATATAGGGCGGCGTGGCCTTGCGGTAGAGAGTTAGACTGCTAACCCAAAAGTCTCAGGTTCAAGTCAGTAGAACGTCCCTTGGTCCACCTCTGATAAGTACCTAACACAGGTTAGGGAAACAAAGGCATAGTTCTGACAACAATATCACATTGTATGCAGAGGTAAATAAAACAGATGAACTCTAATTTGTCTTGGTACCAAACACAAAAAGATGATTATGGAAATTAGTATTATGTTTTATTTTAAAATTATGTTTTAGTAAACAAAAAATACTAAAAATATAAATTTAAGTAAGTAGTGTTTGTTTAATATATAGTACACGATAAAGAAAAAATATTTAAAAAAAATGGTGAACAATGCGACATGTAATATACATAAATACATTAAACATGGCTAGAAATAGTTTACGATAATGTTCATTATTTACACAGATTACGTAACGTAAGCGGGCAACAAAGGCTAGCAGACGAGCACCAGGTACCAGCATCAGCAGACGTCAACAGCCAGACGTCAGTACCCCAGGGGGCTGTATGCGCAGTGAACACATCAGCAGGAGAACAGAACGTCCTGCAGCACGTCATGTGTCAAGATGGGCAGTGGAAAACTGCAGGTACAGGTAGTGGCGTCGCTAGGTCGGGTGTCATCAGGTGCGGCACCTCATGGTGTCATCCCCCCCCCCCCACACTTAAACCAAATGAAAAAACTATAGGATATATATATATATATATATATATATATATATATATATATATATATATATATATATATATATATATATATATATATATATATATATATATATATATATATATATATAGACCTACATGTACATGTATGTACATAAACCTATATATAGTTGTAATTTGTGTCATCTCCCCCCCCCCCCTCTCTATCGTTTTGCTGAACGGAGTGAATGTGTGCATATATTATTTTAATCCAACTACAATTCAAGTGGAAAAAAGAAACGCTTTTAAAGTAAATTATTAGATGTGGCGTCACATACTTTTTAACATTAATCATTCAATGATCGGGCAAAAAGCATATATATTTGGCAACGTTTTGGCTTGGTGTCACCCCCCCCCCCTACACGGTGTCACCCGATGCGGTCCGCACCCCCCGCCCCCGCCTCGTGAGCGTGACGCCTCTAAGTACAGGCATTAGCTGCATGATGTTTTGATAGTATAATCTGCAAGCTAATGTTCTTTACAAATAACAATACAACAAGTGCTTGTTTAAGTTATACGACATTAAGTTTTATATTATGTTACACAACAGTTTTTTTACATACCACAATACAAGAAGTTGATTGTTTAGTTACACGAAATTATGTTTCATAGTATGGTGTACTATAATTTTACATGCCGCAACAATTGATGTTCATTCTTTAGTTCAGAGAAATACTGTTTTATTATTCGTTGTACAGTACACTTTGTTTATCTTAAAACGGCAAGTATACAGAGTTTCAGGTTTCATTTTTGGTGGCGTGGGGGGGGGGGTGCACTGAAAGAAATACTGAAAGAATATTTATTAGTTACACGGCATTGTTTTATGTAATATAATATTATATGTATTATAATGTGTGTTCTTTACATATCACAATAAAAAAATGCTTCACGTATCACATCATACCAGAGGCGTAGCGAGGGGGTGCGGGGGGTGCGGACCACACCGGGTGACACCATTTAGGGTGGTGATACCAAGGCAAAAAATAGTAAAATATATAGAGAAAAACTTGAGGGGGGTGTAAGTCGAAAGTTCGAAGGGGGGTGCAAATTGAAAGTTTGAGGGGGGGGGTGCAAATCGAAAATTTGAAAGTTTGTCCCCGGGAAGGGTCGCTACGCCTATGGGGGGCGGGGGGGGGGGGTGACACCATTAAGTGCCGCACCTGGTGACACCCGACCTCGCTACGCCACTGCATCATACAAACATTTGGTCTTTTAATTTATTTATTTTCGTGGTAGTTAACTCACTTATCTCAAATTTACATCAGTCTTTCCCGAAGTTCTTATTATCTTTTAATACTTATCCTAACTTTGTAAATATGTATTCATTTCTTCTACTATCTAATCTAATCAAACACACATTTCTTCTACACTTAAAATTCAATATATTAGATTTCACTTTCTTAAAAAAATGTAAATATATCTCAAACAAAAAAAAAACAAAAAAACACAGCCATGCATGCAGTTATCTCATTTGAAAAATAAAGTCTATTAACATTTTGTCTTCAATACAATACATTACTCGGTTTTTTGCCTACGCTTAATTAAAAGGCTACATTTCACATTTGACATTAGATAAATATTTGTTGGTTATGAACGCTTTAGATTACTCAACTCTGTGGGAGATAGGACGCCAAGATTCGAGGAGACAGAAGAGACGGGACTTCGGCCACCACGGACCTACAGGAGGTCCGCACTGCCGTGAGATCTGTGACTCGGGGTGGTGGAAGCGGCCGTGTAAAGAAAGGTGTTGGACAATACGTAAGTGTTGGGGTGAGCAGCGCAGAGGCGTAGTGGGGGGGGGCGACCTTAGGGGGGCGCCAAAATGGGTTGGAAAAACAAATTGAAAGTTCGAGGGGGGGGTGCAAAACAAAAGTTCGAGGGGGGGTGCAAATCGAAAGTTTGAGGGGGGGGGGGGTGCAAATCAAAAGTTCGAGGGGAGGTGCAAATCGAAAGTTTAAGGGGGGATGCAAATCGAAAGTTTAAGGGGGATGCAAATCAAAAGTTCGAGGGGGGGGGGGGGAGGGGGTGTAAATCGAAAGTTTGTCCCCGGTCGCCGGGAAGGGTCGCTACGCCTCTGGAACAGCGGTAGGTTACGTTGTGTAATATTGGTTGTGATGTTTATCAATGAAAACAACATAAAAATCATTATAGCAGCACGTTTTTAAATGCACTGAAAATAAGAAAATAAAACTTATTTACTTTCTTTGATTTGTTGCAATTGTAATTTTAAAAAAATACACATTTCAGTATGTACATTTACTTTTTAAGATATTATAACGTTGTTATTGCGCACGTTACGTATTTGTAATGATTACATTCATAGATAACTACATATAATGTATGTAAACAACATATTAGCCTATTGTAAACGACTGTGTTTTGTTGGTTAGTCCAAATGTACGAGTAAGGGAAGTAACATTCCCAACATAATACAATTTATTTAATGGCTTTTTTTTTCTCTTTAAAAAAAGGAAAAGACTTAGAATTGCCGACTATGGTTTGTCCAAACATAAGTGACATTCTGATTACCAACGGAGACAGTGTTGTAAGTAGTGTTAAATCATGGTTAGTAGATTAATTACTCTAAAAATCTACCTAATCATAGCGTAGAAAATATACTTTTGATGAATTATGTACTACATTTTAACTATTCTACTGACAGTAGTCATTAATTAAGTGATCTAAGTTTACCTCTATTTCCTCCATTTGTTATACACTTATATACAAACTTTATGACATGCCCCCTTCCTCTATAATTATATAATAATTTGTGTTGATAATTTGAAAACTATTTATCAGACCGTTACCTGGGAACCAGCTACTGCCAGTCATATTGAGGAGACTTTTATCAAGTAAATATTTAAAACTATGTATAGAATAATTTGTTAAGTATTTAATTCATTTAACATCCATATTACCCAGTTTTATCAAGTAAATATTTAAAACTACTCATATAATAATTTGTATTTAATTAATTTACATCCATTTTACCAAGTTTTATCAAGTAAATATACAGCTACTCATATAATAATTTAGTAAGTATTTAATTAATTTAACATCCATATTACCGAGTTTTATCAAGTAAATATTTAAAACTATTCACAGAATAATTTGTTAAGTATTTAATTAATTTAACATCGATATAACCAAGTTTTATCAAGTAAATATAAAGCTACTCATAGAATAGTTTGTTAAGTAGGCCTATTTACTTAATTTAACATCCATATTACCCAGTTTTATCAAGTAAATATTTAAAACTATTTACAGAATAATTTTAAAAGTATTTAATTAATTTAACATCCATATTACCAAGTTTTACCAATTAAATATTTAAAACTATTCATAGAATAATTTGTAAGTATTTAATACATTTAACATCCATATTACCAAGTTTTATGAAGTAAATATTTCAAACTATTCATAGAATAATTTGTTAAGTATTTAATTAATTTAGCACCCATATTACCCAGTTTTATCAAGAACATATTTAAAGCTTTTCATAGGATATATATTGTTAAGTATTTAATTAATTCAACGTCCATATTACCTAGTTGTATCAAGCAAATATTTAAAGATATTCATAGAATAATTTGTTAAGTATTTAATTAATTTAACATCAAGATTACCCGGTTTTTCCAATTTGTTAATTAACCCCCCCCCCCCCTCAGTAGACGTTAGCTTTGTGTTTAAATGAAATGGTATTTCTACTTTCCATTAGACTCCAGAACAACAAAACTATTCGACTATGTATTTGAAAATAAATATTTTGTTTTTATCTGGTTACATTATAATGGTCCTAGGAGCTTTGACCACAGGTGCTTTGACCATAGGGGGTTTGACCACAGCGGGGCTTTGACCATAGCGGTGCTTTGACCATAAGGGGTTTGATCATAGGGGGTTTGACCATAGGGGGTTTGACCACAGGTGTTTTCTCAGCAGAGGGTCTTTGATCACAGGTGGTCTATCAACTGGTGTTTTAATCACAAGCGCTATTTATCTATCTGAAATAGTACTCAAGTTATAGGCTTTTGAAAAATTCAAAGTAGGAAAAGTACCACTTCCGGTTATCGGAAATCGCTCAAAAGTTGATACGGATCTACGATTTCGATAAAATACTTATATATGAAATTTCATCAAAGTAGCTGTAACGGTACTCAAGTTATCGTGTTTACACACGGACAGACAGACACACAGACACACAGACAGACACACAGACATACGGACAAGATTGCAAAATTATTTTTTTCCGTATCAGTGAGGTGTAAAACGTCGAGATTTGTAAAAATCTCGATATTTTTTTTGTGCACGATTACAAGACTTTCTCTATACTTCGTATATACGAGAAAGTAAAAAGTATGTATCAGTTATAGAGAAACAACCTAGATATAAATAATTGCCGTGTTCTGAAAAGCTTCATTATCAGTGTTTCTTCCAGACTTTTTTCTCCGGGGGGGGGGGGGGGAGGGGCACTTGAAATTTTTTTTTGGGGGGGGGGGGGGGTGGGGGGGCGGTAGACTTTCTTCGGGGGGTGGAAACTGTTAAAAGTATATATTTTCTATATAAATTTCATTTCGTTCGGAGGGGGGGGGGGTCGGTAAACTTTTTTCGGGGGGGGGGGGCTCCGACCCCCCCCCCCCCCCCCCCCCTCCCAAAGGGAAGCCTGGAAGAAACTCTGTTCATTATAGTGAAATATATTTTACTTACGTATTCCTTGGGCGAAGTAGTTGCTTGCCGTAAAATTACACAGGAGGAGGTTGCACTGGAAAACGCTGTTTTAGATACAATTTCTTTGGGTAAAGGTAAACTGGGTAATATTACAATGGGTAAAGTTACACTCGGTAAAACTGCATTCATTAAAGTTACATTAGGTACACTTTCTTTGGTTAAAGCTTCACTGGATAAACCTACATTATAAAATTTCAATATTGCAAATCAGCTTGACTAAAGTTACATGAGAACAGTTACACAGAGTAAAGTTACACTCGCTTCTGCTATATTCTGTCAACAAAAAAAACAATTCAAATAACATAGGAAACAGTTAAATGTGTGTCCAGTTGAACGTAATTCATTAAATGGTAAATTTACATGAATTCACTTTACATGAGAAAATCTACATTGGTGTAAAGTTGAACGTATTTAATTAATTTGTCTATTTACATGAGTTCCTTTTACATGAGTTCAAGTTACATAGAATAACGTTACCTTGGTGTAAAGTCGAACGTATTTAATTAATGTGTAAATTTACATTGGTTCCTTTTACATGAGTTCAAGTTACACATAATAAAGTTACATTGGTGTAAAGTTGAACGTATTTAATTAATGTGTAAATTTACATGAGTTAAAATTACGTGGGATAAAGTTACATTGGTGTAAAGTTGAACGTATTATGCTTCAGGACACGCCATACTGCGGGTCCTAGACCAGGATCAACTTTAGGTGAAGGCTCCTACAAGGTTATCTACGAGGCCAAGACTAAGACGGGTTTGGTTGAATTCTGTGAAACAACATTTTTGGTCAAGCGCAATGCTTCGGACATAAACAGTGAGTTAAAAAACAGTTAACCAGTAGGTTTTTTACGGACGTAAACAGTGAGTTCAAAAACAGTTAACCAATAGTTTTTTTTACTGATATAAACAGTGAGTTCACTAAAAAGTTAACCAATAGTTTTTTTACGGACATAAATAGTGAGTTCAAAAACAGTTAACCAAGAGGTTTTTTTACGGACGTAAACAGTGAGTTCAAAAACAGTTAACCAAGAGGTTTTTTTACGGACGTAAACAGTGAGTTCAAAAATAGTTAACCAAGAGGTTTTTTTTTTTACTGACATAAACAGTGAGTTCAAAAACAATTAACCAATAAGTTTTTTTACGGACGTAAACAGTGAGTTCAAAAAAAGTTAGCCAATAGTTTTTTTACGGACGTAAACAGTGAGTTCACCAAAAAGTTAACCAATAGTTTTTTTTACAGACATAAACAGTGAGTTCAAAAAAAGGTAACCAATAGTTTTTTTACTGACGTAAACAGTGAGTTCATCAAAAAGTTAACCAATAGTTTTTTTTTATGGACATAAACAGTGAGTTCACCAAAAAGTTAACCAATAGGTTTTTTTTACGGGCGTAAAGTAAACAGTGAGTTCACCAAAAACTTTAAAGAATTGGTTTTTTTTTTTTACGGACATAAACAGTGAGTTCACCAGAAAGTTTCCCTTAATTTCCGTATTGGGAATGTCGGTCGCAAACATTATTACTCTTCTACTCAGAGGCGTAGCGAGAGGGGGGGTGCGGATCGCACCGGGTGACATCGTTTAGGGGGGTGACACCAAGGCAAAAAATAACAAAATATATAGAGAAAAACTTGAGGGGGGGGGGGTGAAAATGAAAAGTTTAAGGGGGGGGGGTGCAAATAGAAAATTTGAAAGTTTGTCGCTATGCCTCTGGGGGGGGGGGTGACGCCATTAAGTGCCGCACCGGGTGACGCCCGACCTCCCTATGCCACTGCTTCTACTGCCATTGATGGATAGTGTAATTCGCCGTGGTCGCATTTTTTATGAATTTCTTTTTTTTTTTTCGATAAAATTTAATACACAGTTAAATGTTTTAAAACAAAAGTAATGGTTTCCTAAAAGATTTTAAAAAATATATCTTACCAACCGACCCGCAGCGTATCATATGCCGCTATTTAGTTGATTTATTTTCTACTTTTCAGTAATTCATAATTTGTGAATTCCACATTACCAATGCTGCCACTGAAAATATTTGCTTTAAAACACTAACCCCCCCCCCCCCCCTTCCCCTAACCCCGACCCTACCCCCCCCCCCCCCCCCCCCCCGTGAAAGCAGCCTCCTCTTAGTTATTTCTTAGTTACCTCCTGTAAGTTTAAAATCGAACTAAATTATCTGCCCCTAATAGAAATCCGGCTCTACGGCTCTACGATTTGTAAACATTTAGCTTTGTAAACATTTAGCGTGACCACAGCTCACCAGACAATGTGGGGGTGGGGTGGGGGTGGTAGTGATAGTGATAGAGAGAAAGAGAGGGGACTGCAAGGAGGCGCTTGCAGCTTGTTTCCTAACGGCTCCCAGAAGAGAATTATATATATAGATGTTTTAATAATTTTGTTCCGTTGCTAAGACATAGATGCATTTTTCATCTTAGTTCCAATGTGCCCGGCGAATACCAATTACATATGTAGCGTAGTGGATCGGACTGTCAATGACCTTTATTGTGTTTTTTTCTCATTCGAGATTACGTCCATTGGGTATATGTCGCGATAGAACAAACGTCCATTCGGGAATTTGTCGCATTCGGCAAAACATTCATTCAAGTATTCGTTGCGTTTGGGCAAACATCCATTAGTGAAAACGGCTTTCGGGCAGACGGTATTCGAGCAAGTGTTCTTCTGACATTGTGTCGTAAACTGCTTGTCCAAGTGTTTTTTCTTAGTGGAGTTATTTCTCCCACTCGGGTACCATTTACTGCAGCAAAATCCAGATAAGATTAAGTTATTCATTCGGAACTAACGGGTTAAATAGAGTGTACATGTTTCCGTGGCCTCAGTAAACGAAGGGTCAGAGTGTACGCACAACAGTCTTTACTTTTCCTAGCAAAATCCAGGTACCTACCAGAGGGAGGGGGGTTGTTTACGTCTTTCGCACAAGACTGGGATGAGAACCCGAAACTTTAAAACATCTTTCTCACTCTCTTGCTGCCACGCAATTTCACACTCGCAGAATCCTGTTGTATGTTAATTAATAACTCTGTCGCCTCTAGTACACTGCACATTTCCTGACCCGAGCTATAGGGCTGGTAAGAAGGTCACCAAACAGTTCTACGGCTCAGTAAAACCTGCATGAGCCATATAGCTGTTTATTGACCTACTTACCAGCCCTATACCTGCCCTAATACCACTGCACATTTCCTGACCCGAGCTATACCTGCCCTAATACCACTGCACATTTCCTGACCCGAGCTATACCTGCCCTAATAACTCTTGCCTCTAGTACACTGCACATATCCTGACGCGAGCTATACCTGCCCAAATAACTCTTGCCTCTAGTACACTGCACATATCCTGACGAGAGCTATACCTGTCCTAATAACTTTTGCCTGACCCGAGCTATACCTGCCCTAATAACTTTTGCCTGACCCGAGCTATACCTGCACTAATAACTATTTTTTCTTTAGTACACTGCACATATCCTGACGCGAGCTATACCTGCCCCAACGGCACCAAGGTTGGAGCCAACTGCACGTCAGTGTGTAACGATGACGACGGCAACACCACACGGACCCTGACGATCACCTGCCAGAAAAACCTGACGTGGTCCAACTACAAGATGTGTCGAGGTAATCTCTATCAATTTCCAACGTTTACATCATACACTTATCTACAATCTCTGTGACATTACCAACTAAACAGTATACATTGTTTCCATATACATTAATTAAACGGGAATGTTTGTAGAGGACCCGTTTTAAATATGACGAACCATAAGGCAGATGAAACAGATTCTATTTGTTTTAAATATGACGAACCATAAGACAGATGAAACAGAATCAATTTGCTTTAAATATGACGAACCATAAGGCAGATGAAACAGAATCAATTTGCTTTAAATATGACGAACCATAAGGCAGATGAAACAGAATCAATTTGTTTTAAATATGACGAACCATAAAGCAGAAGAAACAGAATCAATTTGTTTTAAATATGACGAACCATAAGGCAGATGAAACAGAATCAATTTGTTTTAAATATGACGAACCATTAGGCAGATGAAACAGAATCAATTTGTTTTAACTATGACGAACCATAAGGCAGATGAAACAGAATCAATTTGTTTTAAATATGACGAACTATAAGGCAGATGAAACAATCTATTTGTTTCTTTCTTGACCAAGCCGTAGATGTCTTTACTTTCTCCAACGTAAACCAGGTACCCATTAAAGCTGGGTGGACTCAGGGAAGACATGCGGATAATCAATTTTGTCATCCTAAATAAAAGCGGATTATATGCCATCGGTTTTAATGCTACATTTATAAAAAATATCTTGATGCTTTACTAAACAAATTTTACGCATACATAATTTACAAATTTATCGGCTCCACCAGTCTAAATACCCCAATAATGAAAGTATCGGCTTACCTGACAACCCATGTAAACCAGACCTCAGGTAAAACAGGACAAATCATCCACCCATCTCACGTTACAACAACTGCCCTACAAACTCCCCAACACCGACAAAATCGCAACCCTCAGCACAACACTATATTTAATTCTTGAATAATTTGTCGCTTAACTTAATATCAAACCTAACACTACATTCTTAACTTAAGCTAATACTTACAACAAATTCTAAATTATTCCCTTACGACTTTTGCTCTTATAATAATATTATTTGTATTATTTTTTGGCGCGTGGATGAATTAACTAAATACTTAGAACATTACAACTAACTTAAAATTATTGACTCAGGTTAGTGACCCTTGTCGGGAATGTTCAAACCGACATAACAAGAACTCTTGCTAATTAACCCATTTATTAATTACCCAGCATGTCCGACCAGTCTCAACATCGACTTAATGACCCATTATCAACCCAACGTAACCAGAACTCTTGCTAATTAACCCATTCATTAATTATCCAGCATGTCCGACCAGTCTCAACATCGACTTAATGACCCATTATCAACCCAACGTAACCAGAACTCTTGCTAATTAACCCATTCATTAATTATCCAGCATGTCCGACCAGTCTCAACATCGACTTAATGACCCTCGTCGCGCATGATCAACCCAACGTAACCAGAACTTTTGCTAATTAACCCATTCATTAATTACCCAGCATGTCCGACCAGTCTCAACATCGACTTAATGACCCATTATCAACCCAACGTAACCAGAACTCTTGCTAATTAACCCATTCATTAATTACCCAGCATGTCCGACCAGTCTCAACATCGACTTAATGACCCATTATCAACCCAACGTAACCAGAACTCTTGCTAATTAACCCATTCATTAATTACCCAGCATGTCCGACCAGTCTCAACATCGACTTAATGACCCATTATCAACCCAACGTAACCAGAACTCTTGCTAATTAACCCATTCATTAATTACCCAGCATGTCCGACCAGTCTCAACATCGACTTAATGACCCATTATCAACCCAACGTAACCAGAACTCTTGCTAATTAACCCATTCATTAATTACCCAGCATGTCCGACCAGTCTCAACATCGACTTAATGACCCATTATCAACCCAACGTAACCAGAACTCTTGCTAATTAACCAATTCATTAATTACCCAGCATGCCCGACCAGTCTCAACATCGACGAGACCCACCTGGAGAGGATCCACTGCTCTGTGGACAGAGACGTGGGCATGATGCTGTGTACGGTGGTGTGCGAGAAAGGGTACATGACCGGCCGCGAGACCTACCTGATGTGTGGGCTCATGACCAACTTCACCTGGTCGCAGGTGACCAAGGAGAATCCCCTAGGGGTGGTCCCAGCTTGTGTCGGTAAGGATACAGAAACTGTTTTTTATAAATACTTATATCTACTTACAGGCGTAGAGAGGGCGGGGCGGGGGGGGGGGGGGGGGGTACGCACAGCACCGGGTGACACCACTGAGAAGGTGACACCAAGGCAAAAAAATTGCAAAATGTACGGAAGAAAACTGCGTTTTTTTGTAAGTTACATTAATGATTAATTAAAGTTAAGTGGTCTTTATTTCAAGGGTTGGGGTTGAGACCTTGACGTAAACGCTAACTATAGAGAAAAAAAGTCTACATCCAACTGTAGGCCATTATATATATATATATATATATATATATATATATATATATATATATATATATATATATATATATATATATATATATATATATATATATATATATATATATTTAACGACGCGACTGTATCTACTAGGAGGGCATCAGTAACCAACGTTACACATTCTCTAACGATTTCTATCACCCCTTTCACTCCACATCGTCACACGTTGTCACGAAAACCTCACTTTCCACACCCCCCCCCCCCCCCCCCGCCATTACCTGCACATACAAATGACCTGAGAATTCTCCCCTATCACTTTTAGAATTAAACTATTTTTAAACGGTTATGTCTTTTAAAAACGTGTACTTAGTTAACTCTAAGTAAACTGATCAATTGTTATTGTAATTGACGAGAAAAAAAAATTCTTTTCAAAACATACAAAACAATCAAGTATAATTAAGTTTCAAACTTCCTACAAGGCAACAGCGTAACGTCACTCTGAACCCCCCCCCCCCCCTTATACACACACACTCTTCGTCATAAGAAAGAACCCCTCCACCTCCCCTCCCGCTAGGTGTGAGACTTCATTAATGAACACCCGCTAATTAATTACGCTGGTCTGTCTGTAACTACGTATAGTTAACATGGGAAATTGAACCAATAGAATAAATAGCTCACACAGAACAAACCAACAGAAAAAAAGTTATATGAGTAAAACGGGAAAAAAAATAACGAAACGAGTTTTGATATTTAGACATTTAATTGTTTTAATTATGTTGCATGACTTTCGTCCGACATGATTAGGTGCTAGTTAAACAATATTATGATTATAAAACAATATAATATCAAAAACTATCAGATTGCAGTATCCCTGTAAGCTATGTTAGTTACATGATCCATCAGTAAACATCGGCATACTATTTCTTAAATCAAGCATGAGAGGTTAAAAAAAAACAAACAAACCTGATAAACTCTACTCCGTTTGGACATGACTATTTTTGGTTCCTTTTCTTCTCAAAGATGCGGTCAGTGTTCAGCAGAGCGTGTTCAGGCTGGAGGCGAGGATGAAGGCAAACACGAGGAATGATGAGAGAAAGAAGGTCCTCTGGCACATTCGCGATTTCCTCGTACCCAAATGCACCTACTGCCTAATCTACACGTATTTAGACTATTGGAGCCGATACTTTCATTATTGGGGTGAGAAGTGGGATCACTGTATTTAGACTGGTGGAGCCGATACTTTCATTATTGGGGTGAGAAGTGGGATCACGGTATTTAGACTGATGGAGCCGAAATTTTCATTATTGGGATGAGAAGTGGGATCACGGTATTTAGATTATTAGAGCCGATACTTTCATTATTGGAGTGAGAAGTGGGATCACGGTATTTAGACTGATGGAGCCGATATTTTCATTATTGGGGTGAGAAGTGGGATCACGGTATTTAGACTGATGGAGCCGATATTTTCATTATTGGGGTGAGAAGTGGGATCACGGTATTTAGATTATTAGAGCCGATACTTTCATTATTGGAGTGAGAAGTGGGATCACGGTATTTAGACTGATGGAGCCGAAATTTTCATTATTGGGGTGAGAAGTGGGATCACGGTATTTAGACTAATGGAGCCGATACTTTCATTATTGGGGTGAGAAATGGGATCACGGTATTTAGACTAATGGAGCCGATACTTTCATTATTGGAATGAGAAATGGGATCACGGTATTTAGACTGGTGGAGCCGATACTTTCATTATTGGGGTGAGAAGTGGTATCACGGTATTTAGAATATTGGAGCCGATATTTTCATTATTGGGGTGAGAAATGGGATCACGGTATTTAGACTGGTGGAGCCGATATTTTCATTATTGGGGTGAGAAATGGGATCACGGTATTTAGACTGGTGGAGCCGATACTTTCATTATTGGGGTGAGAAGTGGGATCACGGTATTTAGACTGATGGAGCCGATACTTTCATTATTGGGGTGAGAAGTGGGATCACGGTGCAAGCAGGACCTATGGGTCGGGCGAATTGCTTGGGATGGATTAGTCTTCTTCTTCGTTCTTAATTTTTAGTGTTGGAAGGGATCGAGCCTTATCTGCCAGAGGGTTTGAACTCGAGACTTTTTCGAATTTATCAACCATGAGCTTTTTGCCGACTCGACCACGCCTCCATCCAGTGGCGGAACTAGAAAAAAAGGGCCACCCCGCAAAATATTTTTGAGGCCCCCTATATATATATATATATATATATATATATATATATATATATATATATATATATATATATATATATATATATATATATATATATATATATATATATATATATATATATATATATATATATATATATATATATATATATATATATATATATACACACACACACAAAATACGAACGGAGGATACTCATTTCGGGCCTAATCTAGTTGTTAAAAATACATAATACTTTTAATTTTCATTTCTAACAAATTACAACAATATGTCATGTGTTTAAGTGCATTAGTCTGTTTTGCAAATCTGTGTGTCACTTTTGATGTCGGCCGTATATAGATCTATGCAAGCCGGTCAAAAGTATATGAAACATGAAAGCTTTATATGAGTAATGGTTTCTCGTGTTATGTTTATTTTTATGTTTTTTTTAAATTTATATTAATTTTTTAAAATTCCTTTTTATACTATGGCATTCTTTAGTATGTATTGTATAACAAATTATAATTAAGAGAAGTAATTGCTTTTCAATTTGCGTAATACAAAACTATTTTAAAAAGTTTATGGGCACTTCTATTTAAAAAAGGGAAATAAGGCATGGAAGTGGTTTGAATGTTTGTTTATATTGCACACTAAAGCATGTGTAGATTTTTTTTTTCTTTTACGCAACAGCGTGTGTTAGCTACTGTAGAACATTACTACAGTAGTAGTTTTTTTTTTTTAAAAACCATAATTAAGGTGCACGAAAACGTAATTTTGGAATACAAAGTCATTGCTTTTTGGTCAGATTTTGGGCCCCTAAACGGCCTGGGCCCCCCCGCATTGCGGGGTCTGGCGGTATGGTAGTTCCGCCCCTGCCTCCATCACAATTAAGGATACGTGTCAACCGGTTATGCGCCGTTGAGGCCATTGACTCCGTTTTCAGCCTGCTTTTCTTTTTGGATTTGCTTCCATAGCCTTTGTCCAACCAAGAACAAACTACAAGGCAGCAGTTGTTTGATTTTAGAGTTGTATCTCCTAGAAGAGTGGCTGTCCCCAGCTAACAAGCCTCATCTGCCCGAGGGTTCGAACTCGAGACTTTTCGGTTTAGCAACCATGAGCTTTATCGACTCGACCACGCCGACCCCTGGATAGATTAGTGAGGTTGCCCACTCACACGATTAGCATTCTCTCCTTTCGTAGAAAAGTGTGGCCTAGCGGTAGAGCGCACGACTGCTAACCCGTAAGTCTCGATTTCGAATCTGGTTTCAAGTAAGTCCCTGAGTCTACCCAGCTCTGATGGGTACCTGACTCACGTTAAGGAAAGTAAAGGCGGCTGGTCATAATGTTGACCACGTTATCCCTTCCAATGCTGAAGTCAGAGAACTATATAAACTCTCCTTTGCTTGTTTGAATAAGGAGCTTCATATTTACTTTCAGTACTGACTATCAATAAGGCGTATACGTAGCGTTTATATCTTTCTCGACCATTGCGATAATCTAAGATGGAATAGAGTCTAGTCACTTACTCAAAACACTCATTTGCCAATGAAGAAGAATTCATCTTTTTTACACGCTTTTATTTAGTTCGCAACGTCTGTTTGTTTGTTTGTTTATTTGTTTGTGGGCTTGTGGTAAATCTTGTAACTCAATTTTGACCCACTTCTAATGCAGCAATTTCGTTAAAATTTCCAGATACGTTCCACTTCGATGACAATACAAGTCTATCTATTTTTTTAATTTAATTAGATGTTTAATTAGTCATTAACAATTAATTAAACGGTTGCGAAATTAAGGGGAAATACCTAAATCAAATCACTCGATAGACTATTCAATAACAAATGGGGAGATATAAATTAACTGATATTAACTAGCAAGACCCGATCACCCTAAAAGTCTGGTGAGCTGTGGTTCACAAGCATGTTTACATTCGTAGAACCGGTCGATCTAATGGATGCTATTAGGGGCAGAATATTAAATTTTTAAACGATTTGAAACTAACAGAAGGTAACATGATTTAGAACTTGTTGCCATCTGTAGAATATGGTCATCATATTGGTTGCTAAATTATGTAAAAGATCTCATGAGCGACCAAAGTTTTAATAAAAGAAAGCAAACTAGTTTTATTTTATTTTCAGTGAATTTAAAAGCTTGTTGCTATAAAGGTTTGTTTATATTGTTTTATTTTTACTACGATGTATGAAGTGTATGGTGTGGTCAGCGCTATGTTCAGCCACCTTTACTTCCACTTACATGAGTCAGGTACCCATTACAGCTGGGTAGACTCAGGGACGCCTTGCAGACACGCAAGTCCCAGACCCTAACTCGTAACTTCCGGTACAGCAGTAGCGTGCTCTAGCACTCGGCATAGCCGCAACATAACCTTATACTAACCCTTGTCAATTTGTTTTTCAGTTTACGATGTTTTGGGTACATTTTGTCTTTAATGTAAATCGATTGCACTGGATTAATGTGTTTAATGTGTTTGCTTAGGGTGTAATTTGACAGGTGATGGTAGTGTGTGTGCGTAGGTGAGTGTTTGTGAGTTTATGTTTGTGTGTGTCTGTATGTGTGTAAGGTCTTAGGTGTGTTTGAATAGAATAAATAAAAACGAACGAGCCGACCCGCGGCATATCAATGCCGTTATTTAGTTGTTTTATTTTCTACTATCAGTAATTCATAATTTGTGAATTCGACATTACCAATGCTTCATCTGAAAATATTTGCTTTAAAACATTATCAGTAGGTCGTTAAGAACGATACTACCCCCACCCTCCTTTCCCCCAACCCCTACCCCCACCCTCTTTTCCCCCAACCCCTACCATACACTCCCCCCCCCCCCCGTGAAAGCAGCCTCATCTTAGTTGCCTCCCCTAAGTTTAAAATTGTTTCAAACTAAATTATCTGCCCCTAATAGCCGTCACTAACCCCGGCTCTACGAATGTAAACATTTAGCGTGAACCACAGCTCACCAGACCATGTAGGGGTGGGGTGGTAGAGAGCGCGCTTACAGCTTGTTTTCTAGCGTCTCCCAGAAGAGAATTATATATATAGATTGTGTTTTTTTTTTTGTAGAATATTTTACAGTCTGCGTGTCTGTGACGATAAAAGGAAAATCAGTGTGGTCAAACTACGCGACAGGTAAGGCAATCTAAGAACAGGTAACAGGTAGAACTCTTTTAGTAGGTAAATAGAGAAGAATCTAAGAACATTTTGAGTTGTTTTAGTGGGTAAATAAAGGAGAATCTAAGATCAGGTAGAACTTTTTAAGCAGGTAAATAAAAGAGAATATAGCAGCAGACAGAGCTGTTTTAGTATGTTAATAAACTAGCATCTAAGAAACAGATACAATTTTCATAAGTTCAGAAACAAGAACATACAATTTTCAGAAGTTCAGAAACACATACGAACAGATAAAATTTTCAAAAGTTTAGAAACATAGAAACATACAATTTTCAGAAGTTCAGAAACACATAGAATTACTAAAACTGTTCCAGAATGTATCACTATGCAAGACACATATAGCAAATAATGTAGAATGTATATGTTCCATTTAGCCCCACATATAAAGGGTCAGTTCTATGGCCATCCGACCTGTTTTCTCAGCGTAAGTCAAGTACCCCCAATAGGGCAGGATGGACTTTTATATATTTTTTTTTCAAATAAACGATCATATCTATCTGTAATATTAGTAATAAAACAGGTAGTGTTAGTTACCTCACAAGAAAGCTATAAATACTAAGGAAGTTTCGACCCAAGGTCTTCGTCAGATCACAACCGTGTGGTTACAGATTAGACAGAAAAGACAAACAGTAACACAATTTTCGACTTAGCTCGACAGTGAAAACACGTCTAGCCTAAATGCCGCGATATCCAAAACAAAAGACGCGTGAGATAGGACCCTTGGACACCGTATAGGGGTGGGGTTGGGGGCGTTGAGTACGGGAAGGAGGGGTCAGATGAAAGATACCTGTTCGTTTAAACCACACGGTGCCCGTGTGCCAAATTTAAGTGTAAGTCGCGTATCCGTGTTTAGGCGGTTTTTAAAATTATGTATTCATGTACCTGTATATTCATAATGAAATGTAAACACAAATGTTGACACCGTGTTCAGAGGCGTAGCGATGGGGCGGGGGGGGGGGGGGCAGGGGGAACATATGTCCCCGGGCGCCGACCTTAGGGGACGCGAAAATGAGTTGTAAAAACAAATTAAAATGTCAATTTAGCTGCAAAAGTTGAGTTGGGGGGGGGGGTGCAAATCGAAAAATTGAGGGGGTTGTAAATAGAAAATTTGCTCCCGATGGGGGTGCCAAATTAAAAGTTTGTCCCCGGGCGCCGGGAAGGGTCGCTAAGCCTCTAATCCTGTTTATCTAGAGTCCCTAATTTGTCTATCTGTGAAACAAAGACACCCCTATTGAATTTGATATTTGTTTTATCTCTGTGTTTCTGCGATACCAAATCAAACTGTATATTTTTGCGCAGACGATGAAGTCAATGGTCTTGTCGTCCGGATGGATGATTTTGAGAGGATGGCCGATATCATGTACAGGGAGACGAACCAAATCTTTTCTACTGGGCTCTCCTGGAGGAGTATAAATATAGACCAACAGTCCGTTAGAACATCCTTCGTCTATGATTGCCCAGAAGGAAGAGCGTTGTACCACGAAGTTTGCGGTAAATGTTTTGATAACACTTTCTAATTTCTGCGATAAATGTATTGATACCACTTTCTGATTTCTGCGACAAATATATTGATAACACTTTCTAATTTCTGCGATAAATGTATTGTTAACCTTTTCTTATTTCTGCGATAAATGTATTGATAACTTTTCTTATTTCTGTGATAAATGTATTGTTAACCTTTTCTTATTTCTGCCATAAATGTATTGAAAACACTTTCTAATTTCTGCGATAAATGTGTTGATAACACTTTCTAATTTCAGCGATAAATGTGTTGAAAACACTTTCTAATTTCTGCGATAAATGTATTGTTACCACTTTCTGATTTCTGCCACAAATATATTGATAACACTTTCTAATTTCTGCGATAAATGTATTGTTAACCTTTTCTTATTTCTGCGATAAATGTATTGATAACTTTTCTTATTTCTGTGATAAATGTATTGTTAACCTTTTCTTATTTCTGCCATAAATGTATTGAAAACACTTTCTAATTTCTGCGATAAATGTGTTGATAACACTTTCTAATTTCAGCGATAAATGTGTTGAAAACACTTTCTAATTTCTGCGATAAATGTATTGTTACCACTTTCTGATTTCTGCCACAAATATATTGATAACACTTTCTAATTTCTGCGATAAATGTATTGTTAACCTTTTCTTATTTCTGCGATAAATGTATTGATAACCTTTTCTTATTTCTGCTTTAAATGTATTGTTAACCTTTTCTTATTTCTGCGATAAATGTATTGATAACTTTTTCTTATTTCTGCGATAAATGTATTGTTAACCTTTTCTTATTTCTGCGATAAATGTATTGATAACCTTTCTTATTTCTGCGATAAATGTATTGATCTGACTCTAATTTCTGTAATAAGTCTTATTAATTTCTGCATAAATCTATTGAGACGGCATTTTAATGTCTGTCGTAAATTTAATGATAAAGACTAATTTCTGTAGTAAATATTTTGATAAGACTTTATATAATTTTTGTGGAAAATGGGATAATATCACTAATTTCTGCTGTAAGAGTTATTTCTGCATTTAAATATCTTGATAAAACTTTCTAATACCTGTTGAAAATGTCTTGATGCGATTTTTATGTTCTGCAGTAAACGAAATGATTATATTTATTTCTGCCGTAAATATAGTAGTAAGACTCATTTCTGCATTAAATGTAATAATAAGAAACGTGTCTTCGGCTAATGTTTGTCTTGATAAGTCTAAAGTAAAAGGGAAAGTAAAAGCGGCTGGGCAATTCCTTCATGTGCCAGAACAGGTGAACTCAATCTTTTCCACGGACCATGTGGTATTATATTATACGAGCCGACCCGCGGCATATCATACGCCGCAATTTAGTTGTTTTTTCTACTTTTCAGTAATTCATAATTTGTGAATTCGACAGTACCAACGCTGTCACAGAAAATATATATTTAAAACACTATAAGTAGCTCGTTAAGGACGATAACCCCCCCCCCCCCCCCCTCCTTCCACCCCCACCCCCCTCCGTTAAAGTAAACTCCACTTCGTTACCCCCCCATCCCCCTACTTTTAAAATCGTTTCAAACTAAATTATCTGCCCCTAATAGCCGTCACTAAACCCAGCTCCACGAATGTAAAAATTTAGCGTGAACCACAGCTCATCAGACCATGTAGGGTTGGGTTGGTATGGTTCGCGCTTACAGCTTGTTTTCTAGCGTCTCCCAGAAGAGAATTATATATATAGATAGATAAGCGATCTAAATGACAAGTCTACGTCAACGCTTAATTATATAAGGAAAAATGACAAGTTCTACGTCAATTATATCTTATTTAAGCGAATTAAAATGACAACTACAACAATTCTTATTTTACCTAAACGAATTAAAATGTAAAGATCTACGTTAATTCTTATTTTACATAAACGAATTAAAATGACGACTCTACGTCAATTCTTGTATTATGAAAACGAATTTAAAACGACACATTCTATTTTTAGTTATCTGTGAACGTGGCACATTCTGGAACAATGGAGTATGCAAGCCCTGCCCAAGGGGGTACTACCAGAGCGAGTACGGTAAAGTGTGTTGTGAAACCTGCCCGGAAGGTAAGATGTTCCAGCATGTAGATTTTTACAGTAGTGGCTCCGTAGTTTTGCTAAGGCGCCTTAGAAATCAATGAGAAACAAGTTGATAAAAGCAATATATTTCCCGTGTACCAGCCCCACCCCTGCCTCCCCCCACTCTCACTTTACACATCTGACGGAGCCAAACGACAGGCGATACCTGTCCTAGTGCGCATCATGTGTGTCGCAGGGGCAGAGGCGTAGCGACCCTTCCCGGCGCCTGGGGACAAACTTTTCAATTTGCACCCCCCTCCCCTCAAACGTTCAATTTGCACCTAAACAGGTATTTTAATTTGTTTTTCCAATCCATTATGTACCCCCGCCCCCCCCCCCCCTCGCTACGCCTCAGGGGGCCACTGAGGTATAATCAGGGTTGTTAATCTCATGGCCCAGAAAGCTCCACTCCTTGATTTTAGAGTTACCTCTTCTGTGTATTTATTTATATCAGTGGTTCTTAACCTTGATTTTAGAGTTACCTCTTCTGTGTATTTATTTATATCAGTGGTTCTTAACCTTTTTGGCGTTACCGAACTCCACTAGATTCATATGCGCATTCACCGAATCCTTATTGCTAGTTCTATCGTCAGTACTGACAAAATCATATCTTGAATAACATGGAACGCGTGTAATCCTGACCACCACCGAACCGCTGTGACTGACTCACCGAACCCCTACGATTCTATTGAACCCCGGTTAAGAACCATTTATTTAGATCAGGGGTCTCCAAACTTTTCAGTCCGAGGGCCGCATTAACTATCAAATTTCAGTTGGGGGGCCAGATTCTTCCAGGCATGTCTTTGATTTTTCTGGGCAAAGTTCCTCAGCCATCATCAACAAACGTTTTTTCCGTGGACAAAAAGATTTCCGCGGGCCGGATGAGAGGACTTCGCGGGCCGCATCCGGCCCGCGGGCCGTAGTTTGGAGACCCCGTTTGGAGACCCCGTTCAGTTTGTATCACTGTTAGGGATAAGGTTACACTTGTACTTACATTTAGTGTCAGTATATGTGTGAAATAAAACAAAAAGTTAAGTTTTAGATTGAGGTCAGAATAGTTGATCGCAGTTAACAATTTAATTAATACACGTCGCTATTCATTGAAGTACTCAAAAGAAATTTCAATTTATGTTGTCTAATATATGTGTTACATAAGGAGAGGACGTCATGGTCAAGTAGAAGAAAGTTCGAGTACTAACCGGAATGTCTCGAGTTCGGATCTCGTTCCGAAATCGAGCACTATAGGAAGTCCGTAAATCCACACAGCTCTGATAAGTACCTGACTCACGTTGGGGAAAGTAACGGTGGCTGGATTTAGTAATGACCAGAGGCGTAGCAAAGGGGGGGGGGGGGGGGCGCGGGTGCGGACCGCACCGGTTGACACCATTTAGGGGGTGACACCAAGGCAAAAAATAGCAAAATATATAGAGAAAAATAATAATTCCACTTAATTAAGTGATTAATTCGAGTGTTAAATAGTCTTTTAAGAGGTGCAAATCGAAAGTTTAAGGGGGGGGGGGGGGTTCAAATCAGAAATTGAAAGTTTGCTACGCCTCTGGGGGTGACACCGTTAAGTTTCGCACCTGGTGACACCCGACCTCGCTACGCCACTGGTAATGACCATAACATACTTTATATGCCATGATCTTTAAACACCAACTCTAATTCATCTGTCCGTTGGATCATTAGACCTTAATCGGGAGCTGTACTTTTTGTAGGTGTCATATAAACTCTAAACTCTATGAGCTTACAGGTAACAGCACTGTCGGATATGGTTCGCGTTCGAGTACCGACTGTGTACCTGATCCCAAGGAGTTGTACCCCCTTCATCTGGGGTATTGGGACGACGAGAAGGAAGAGAAGGCTAACGTCGATGTGATCCGATGCGAAGATGTAAAGGAGAAGGAAAACCGTACGTGGCGAGTCTGTGGTGGACGTTGGTACTTTTAAAAAAAAAAACATGTTTGGGTTTTAATTGTGATAGGGTTGCACTTGAGATAGTTAAAATTTCGTGGTAATTTTAAGAAACGATCCACATGCTAGTTTTTATCCCTATGTCAAAACTGTATGTGTAGATCAGAACAAAATGTATAGATCACAACAACATATGTAAATCACACACATATGTTTAGATTACAACAAAATGTGTAGATCACAAAAAAATATGTGTAGATCACACAAAAATAATGTGTATATCACAACAAAACAGTATGGAGAGAATCGGCGTTAGCCATTCATTTTTGAAAGTTTTAAATATCCCCGATCTGTTGATATCATGGTAATGGAAAATGTGCTACGGATATTTGGTTTTAAAATATATTATTGAAAAATGGAAACATTCGGTTTAATACACATATACTTGGATGTAACAAATACAATGCACATTCACTATGAAGAAACATAAATAAATAAATAAATAAATATATATATATATATATATATATATATATATATATATATATATATATATATATATATATATATATATATATATATATATATATATATATATATAAATATTGACACAACAAACATATGATTCTGATGGAAGTTTTTTCCTTGTTAGTACATCATTTTTTAATACATTTCAGAACCTATAGGAGCACTCAACGTAATAGTTTTTTTAGTGATGCTGTTGATACTGGGAGGGATGTGTTTCTTTTGCTTCAACCGTTTCTTTGGGTAAAAATTATTTAACATATCAAATTTGTTTATGTACTGTATTTGCTATACTCGTTTCTTTGGGTAAAATTTATTTAACATATCAAATGTGTTTATGTACTATATTTGCTACACTCGTTTGTTTGGGTAAAAATTATTTAACATATGAAATTGTTTTATATGCTATATTTCCTAAACTCCTTTCTCTATGAAAACGGTTTTTTTTAAACATATCTAATTTTTTTATGTACTAGTTTTTCTACACTCGTTGCATAAGGAAAACTTTTTAACATATCAATTTGGTTTATGTTCTCCATAAGCTACATTCAGTGCTATATGTTTAGTATCAAATTTGCGCATCTTTCTCACTGTAAATATATATGTTAATATAGGCAATATTTTGGGTCTACTGACCACGGTCTAGCACATGCATCTACACATATGCATCTATATATGCAAATATGTCAATTTGCACGGCGCGGCCTTGCGGTAGAGCGCTAGACTGCTAACCCGAAACCGAATCCGTGTGCACGTCAATAGAACTTCCCTGAGTCCACACAACTCTGATGGATACTTAATTCACTTACCACGCTATACCATCATATGTCCAGGTCACATAATTAGTTGAACTCTACTTCACTTACCCCATGGACTGTCAGTTCCTACACGAACTTAGACATTATAATTTATGTTGGGATTTGTAGGATTGTATAGATCCTATCCTGCTTATTGCTTTCTATGATGCTGGGTGTTTTCTCTCCATTCAAGTTGGCATGGGTTGGAATATAGACTACCTCTATGTGCTACTTTATTTGTAGAAGAATTCGGCACCTTAGACTATTGCAGTCAACACACATACAACTCACAGTGCAATACCACTTAGAGGAATAGATTAATATAAAAGTAAAGTTTCCCTTTCAAACCTGATGGTCTATGGGGCAAGTGAAGTAGAATTCACGTGTTTCTGTGACCTCGGCATATGAAGAGATAGTGTGGTCAGCTCTATGCCCAGCCGCCTTACTTTCCCTCGCGTGAGTTAGGTACCCATCAGAGTTGACTTGAACCCGGATTCGAACTCGAGACTTACTGGTTAGCAGTCCAGCTCTCTACCGCTAGACCACTCCATCCCATAGATTAGTATAATGTATAAATAAACGATGAGTTATATTACAAGTGGCCTACATAAAAGTATAATGTATAAAGAAACAAGTAAGATCACAGGAATATAAAAATATATAATGTAAAATGAAACTATGAGTATCCATAATCAAACTGTCGACAACAAAATGTCAGAAGTAATGTAGGTTACTGCCCAAAAGTTTTAAATTGGCATGTGTTAAACAGTCGTTTGTAATTATCGTTTACATTTTCTTTTTTTTTTCTTAACAGACAAGGGTGCATTCGGTTTTAAAAAATTAAAACCAGAAAAATCTCTTGGACAGCGTTGGAAATTTGATCTCAAGTTTAATAGCCGGATCACTCATTCAAAATTTGAAACATAATGTTTATAAAATGTTATTGAAAACAAAAATTGAATATTTGTTTGTTTTGTGTTTAACGAACATTTTGTTTTAGTGTTTTAGTGTAGTGATTTGCTAATATTGCCAATATTACTATTGTTAAAAAAATTTTTAAGTACCATCGTGTAAGCAATCTCAAGAAGGCAAATAGTTTGTTTGTTATTTTTTATATTTTAAAAATAGCGGCTGTATTTTAAAAATAAGTGCATTAAACTGAATGACGCAATTCCTGTTTAATAATAACTGTATTGAGAGCAGTGTTGAGCTGAGCTAAATTTTAACGGGTATTAACTTTGTATTTCAAAACAGGCATTTTGATATATGCAGGTGTTTTTATTCTGACGATCGAATGAGAGCTATACTGTGCTTCACACAGAGGCGTAGCGACCCTTACCGACGACCGGGGACAAACTTTTCGATTTGCACCCCCCCCCCTCAAGATCTCATTTGCACTCCCCCCCTCTCAAATTTTCGATTTGCACCCCCCTCAAACTTTTAATTTATTTTTCCCACCCATTTTGTCGCCCCCTAAGGTCGGCGCCCGGGGACATATGCCCCCCCCCCCCGCCCCCCCCCCCCTCGCTACGCTACTGGCTTCACATCAAACGTTCGCATACAAACGGCAGAGGGTAGGGGCACTGGGCCACGGTGTTCCAGCTTTCTGCATCGAGGGTCATCACACGACAGCAATCATCAACGTCTGAGCCGTTGGGTACACCTTTATAAAATATTGAGTAGTTTGTGAAAGACGTGCTGTCCTCCATCCACACAAACGTTCCTTCAGCGGCGCGATCGTTACACCCAATCCAGAGTTCGCTGCTTGGCGCTAATGAACCGATAAGTCTAACTTTTTCTAATGTTTTAGCGCTTGCGAGAAATCCTCCGCTTGTCGTGCAGGTCGATTCAGCTTCTGGGTAAGATAGCGCCGTGGAGAAGACTTTAAGACAAGCCATGATGGCGTTGAGAGTCACTGGTTGAAAGCCGTCAGATGTGTTGCAGCTAGTGCGCTTGAGGTACAGATTGCCTTCAGTGGTCGATGTGGGAATTCCCGCAGTGCTCATGTAGGATCCCGGTGTGCAAAGTTTGGTCGACTTGTTGTACATGACAGCCAAGCATGGCGGGTGTTTTGTTAAGCACGCGTTGATGCATGACAGACGTGACCTGTCGGACCAGCTTGTGCCTGGTCGGACAGGACTCAGGGTTGTATCCTGGTTTGTGTACAGGTTGTAAGATGACTGGTCCGAAGTACTTGCTGGTTCTGTTACCACAACATCTGTTCATTAGAGAAAAATATAGCATACACGCACATTGTAAAAATACTAAATTACATAATTTAAGAAAAATCTATACATTAAAATGTAGGGTTATTCTTATTCTTCTTCTTCGTTCTTAATTTTTAGTGTTGGGAGGGATCGAGCCTTATATGCCAGAGGGTTTGAACTCGAGACTTTTTTCGAATCTATCACCCATGAGCTTTTGCCGACTTGACCATGCTTCCATCACAATTAAGGATCACGTGTCAACTGGTTATGTGCCATTGAGGCCGATTTCAGCCTGCTTTTCTTTTTGGATTTGCTTCCATAGCCTTTGTCCAACCAAGAACAATCTACAAGGCAGCAGTTGTTTGATTTTGGATTTGTCTCTCCCAGAAGAGTGGCTGTCCCCAGCTAACGAGCCTCATCTGCCCGAGGGTTCGAACTCGGGACTTTTCGGTTTAGCAACCATGAACTTTACCGACTCGACTACGCCGACCCCTTATGTGTCATTGAAAGTCTTGAACCTTAAAATTTTAGTCACGATAATTTTTAGGCTTGTACCCATTGTGTTACAATACAAGTAAGGGCAGATTGATAAACAATACACCAAAGCTAATTATATAGATGTTATTTTATCTGAACTATACTCTATTTTATAGTTAGGTATTTGCTGCAAGCTTAACTCTTCTTGCGAGTCCCAAAATTTTAGTTAATAAATGTAATACATCCTATCCTAAATATTATTTTTAACAAAAGTCCGTATCTTTAAGTTCTCCATATATTATTAAAGATGGTGATATAGCCTTGAAAAATATGTGACTAGCAGAGAGGAAGAGAGATAAGTGCTCACACGTACTTTCATATTTTTACAAGACAATAAACTGATAAAAATGTGGTACTTACATACAAAGATAGCGGAAAAAGACACAGGCAGCAACATTTTGATGAAGATACTTCTACTAACTTGACTGCAACATCTTTCTGTTTAATCAGACTTGTGTCCCTTTACTTTAGCCATAGAACCCGTCTCCGTACCAATAGCAAACCATTGTCCCGCATATTTAAACAACTGTGACCTTCGGGACAAATAGTCGTGAAAACAACAGAAACAAAATCGGCGTTTGAACACAAGAACTAGTTTTTAATTAAACATTGGGCACTTTAAAAACCTACAGAAAGAGTTGTGTGAGATGAACATTTATAAAAATAAATAACAAAACAGCGACTGTTACTTTAGGTCTTGCTGTTTATTGTTAGTGTCGTGTGAGATGACGTCCTTTGTATTACGTTTATATATTGTGGTTATGCCCCTTGAGTGTGTTGGGTCGGTGCAGTTGCTGCTAACACTAGATACCAGCGTGAGTAACTACAGCATAGATTGATGAAATTTCATATATAAGTATTTTATTAAAATAGTAAATCCGTATACACTTTTAAGCGATTTCCGATAACCGGAAGTGATACTTTTTCTAGTTTGAACTATTCAAAAGCCTATAACTTGAGTACTATTTCAGATAGATAAATGAAATTTCATATGTAAGTAATTCTCTACCTTCTATCAAATTTTGAGTAATTTCCGGTGATCGGAAGTAGTAATTTACGCTATTTCCGATTTCTCAAAAAACTAATGTAAATTTATAAAGTACTAATAATATTGCGCACTATTATGCTCATTTTATTTGGCATTCACTTGGTGTGCAATTCTTTTTTCTACAAGATTTTATTTTATTTTATAAAGTTTAAGTATTTAAAATGGATTAAAAATCATGTCTATATCTCGAATTCCCATCCCCTGTCGTTTTATATAAGAATATTCGAGAAAATTTATGGGAGATCACTCCCGTTTCATTAGTAGAAATAAACGTCAATCTCGATACGAAACTTGTTTCAAAGATATCATTATAAAACAAGAATTTCTCTATACTTCATATATACGAGAAAGTAAAAAGATTTAAATTTTTAATTTTTATATGAAGTAGCATACGTTTATTGGCCGAACTTTATTTAGTGTGATAATTTATTGTAACCTACTTAAGCATTATGTTGGTGTTTCAGAGTACGTTAGTAATTCACATTTTGAACTACATCCCAGTCATATATATATATATATATATATATATATATATATATATATATATATATATATATTATATATATATGTATATATATATATATCATATTGTATGTATATATGTATATATATATATAGTTTTGTATATAACGGCTTACATAAAAAGCACCCTCCCCTCCTTCTCCTTCCCACTACAAATGATGTAAAGTTGACTGAGCCAAAAATAACGTGTTGTATTCGGAAATTAACGTTGTCTGAAACCTCTCATTAATCTTTTAACGTCCCATTACAAGTCAACGATTTTCAATGGCATTGTTCTCTAGGATGCTGTTGGTTTTTTTTTTTAACAAATTAAAAGTAAGTCAAAGCCTGGGTGGGTTAAATTGATTTCTTTCCCTTGATGGACATCAAGTCTTTACTTGGTACTTTTTTAGTCCCCTATAATTAATATAAAGATTATATATATATATATATATATATATATATATATATATATATATATATATATATATATATATATATATTTATAATTAATATATATATATATATATATAATTAATATAAAGATTATATATATATATATATATATATATATGTATATATATATATATATATATATATATATATATATATATATATATATTTATAATTAATATATATATTTATAATTAATATATATATTTATAATTAATATAAAGATTATATTTATATATATATATATATATATATATATATATATATATATATATATATTATATATTATATATTATATATATATATATGCATATATCCTCTTATCTGATATAACTCGCGTATTTTGTTTTCTTTCATAACATGTGTACTTTAGTAATATTCACTGGAAAATAGTATGCTGTTAATATAAAACATGCCAGTAAAGTTCAGTTTGAATATTGACATTAAAATGCTTACTTTTAATACACTACAACAACCAAAAAAATGCAAACAAGGATTTTTGTTTAATTTTTATTTTATTAAGAGTTTAATTGGTTTGAAGTTCAATTCGTGTATTGTAACTCATTAATCAACATAATTTATGTATGAGCCTAAAATGTTTACATAAACAAAACAAAACAAATTTAAAAAAAAAATCGCACCAGCCTTGACTGACCAAATAATATTCTGACAATTAATATTGGCTACATTTTCTGTTCACAAACAAACAACATTTCAAAATCGCATCCCATGTCGTTGACCCAGCTGTCTGAATCAGATGTAAATACCATGCAGCAATCCTCATCACCGTTGTTGTTGTTTGGCTCACCCGCACGAAATATGTCCGTGTGATTCAGGTCCACCCACGACCCGTCCTCCACCCACACAAATGTCCCCTCCACCCCCCTATCGTTGCACCCCACCCAAATACTACCGCCAGGCGCTAAAGAACTAATCAGCCTGACTTTATCTCTTGTGTCCGCGGTTGCTAAAAAACCGTTACTTGAAATACACGTAGATTCTGCTATTGTATACGACGCGTTAGTGAATACCAAGTAAAGACAGAGAGTAGTGTGGTTGTATGTGACAATTTTAAACCCAGCTGATGTATCGCAGTGAACGTGTTTTACGTAGAGGTTCCCTTCAACTGAAGATGCGGGAATTTCCGCTGAGCTGGCGTAGGC